GTCTCCAGCTGCCTTCATGTAGCTCCACTAACAGCTGCTTTAGTTTCTCCACCGACACCAGCAGCAGCTGATGATCAGGTCGACGGTTGAACTCCTCCCGACTGTCTGAAGCCTGAACTCTGTCCAACTTGTTCAAACTTGCTGCTCCACATAGTTCCAGCTTCACAGCTTCATGAGAGGAATCATGTGACTCCGTTTATGAATGAGGAGGAAAAGCAGCAGCTGACTGACGGCGGCGGGAAAAAACCCAAAGAGACTGAGAGCAGCTGAAACGTCACAGAGCTGAAAATATAACAAAGCAAAAGACATAAACGTCTCAAACAGCTGTGAGAATGTGGTTTTGAGTTGATTAAATCTAAACAGTCTAAAGGCTTTAACGTAAAGCTTTTATTGAGTCTTTATGAGCAGCAGTTGTTTTTAATAGATGGTTCAGACGTGTTAGAACATGTCGACCTGTGAGTGGATGTAGCTGCATAAAGCTGTAAAACATATAAAACATGTCTTCTAGGAATGTTTGTAGAATAGTAAAAATATTAGTTATATATGTGCATTTAACAATTTATAGTAAGAAAAAATATTCAAAATTGTTTATTTATTGTTGTCATCCAAAAATTACTCAAAACTTGCCCAAAATTATTCAAAATATGACCAAATGTCTCAAAATCTGTCAAAAATAAAGAGAAAAAAAATGCCCAAAATGACTTAATATTAGTCTAAAATAACTTAAAGTCTGTCCAAAATATCTAAAAATCTCTCCAGAATAATTTTTAAATGTCTAAAATGAAACATATTTTTCCATATTAGGTAAAAATCTGTCTAAAATCATTTAAAATCTCCCTAAAATGACAAAATATTTGTCCAAATAAAGGAAAAATCTGTCTGAAATTATTTTAAATCTCTCAAAAATGACCAAATATTTGTCCAAATTAACTAAAAATCTGTCCCAAACCACTCAAACCTGATAGATTTAATGAAAAATGGGTCTAAAATAACCAANAACAAAAACAGTTGGAAAGTTATTTACCATATTTCAAAAAATGTTCCTTTCAATAAACGGCAAATATTTGTAAAAACAAAACAACAAAAAAAAGATATTCTGGTGATTTAAATACAAGAAAATTGGTTTAATAGTTATAATCAAATGTTGTAAAAGAACTGATTATTATTTGTAAAAATATACTTTTTTTATGGGAACATTTTTTACTGTTTAAGTTAACATGTAAATTAATGTTATGGAAATGTAAATTAAAAATTTCTGGGGATTTTATCTGTTATTCAACAAAACAGGGGAACTCTGTAAAATAACACAAAAAAATTATGAAGATTTTTTTTAACTTAAATATACAGAATTTTTTTCAATTAAAAGCAAATATTTGTAAAATAATAATTTGTTTTAATGATTTCAATATAGTTAAAAATAGTTTCATTATTTGGTCAAAAAAAACCATTTCTGGTAAAAATTGATATTTTATTTTTACATATTCGTCCTGATTTTGTTTTTCACTTTGTACATGTAAATTAATTATTTCTTCTTAATTGTTTTCTGCAATCGAATAAAACAGAGAAACCTGTCAAACAATATGACATTTTAAAAATTGTTTAAAACTAAAATACCGTATTATAAATGTACTAAAATAATTTTTAAAAATGCAGATATTCTACAGTGTAGAATTTTTTTATCGTCAGTTCACTAAAAAACATAAACTACTCCACTATCGTGTGTCTATGAAGCGTTCTGCTGACCGCTCGTCTCCCTGCAGGGTTCCACATCTACCACAAGATCACCATCTGGATCCCGGAGTCGTGCCTGCTGATCGCCATTGGCCTGATCGTGGGCGCCATCATGCACTCGGTGAAGGAGGAGCCTCCGGCGGTGCTCAGCTCCAACGTCTTCTTCCTCTACATGCTGCCGCCCATCGTCCTGGACAACGGCTACTTCATGCCCACGCGGCCGTTCTTTGAGAACGTGGGCACCGTGCTGTGGTACGCCGTGGTGGGAACCCTGTGGAACAGCATCGGCATCGGCCTCTCGCTCTTCGCCATCTGCCAGATCGAGGCGTTCGGGGTCCAGGACATCAACCTGCAGGTGGGTCAGAGGTCAGAGGTCATGGCCGGGTTTGTTGGGTCACATTTATGATTCAGTTTGTGTCTCTTTGGTCCTGTTTCCTCTTTTTGTTGTCTTTCTGTAGACTTTTTTGTCTCTTTGTGGGTCTTCTGTGTCTGTTTGTCGTCATTTATTGTGTCTGTGTCGCCCTTCTGCATCTTTGTGTTCTGACTTTATGCAGCCAGTTCATGTGTCTTTGGAGCAAGATTGTGTCTTTTTGTTGTCATTTTATGTCTGTCTGAGGTCATTTTGTGTTTGTTTTGTTGCCAATTTTTGTCTTTTTCTCAACTTTTTGTAACTTTTTGTAGTAATTTTGTCTCTTTGAGGTCATATTGTGTTTGTTTTGTTGTCATTTGTGTCTCTTTGCCATCATTTTGTGTGTTTGTATTGTCATTTTCTGTCTTTTTGTCATCATTTTACTGAACGTTAAGGTCATTCTGTGTTTGCTTTGTTGTCATTTTATGGTTCTTTGTCATCACTTTGTGTGTCTTTGTTGTCATTTTTGCCCCTTTGCCATCATTGTGTGTCTTTCTGAGGTAATTTTGTGTTTGTTTTGTTGCCATTTGTGTCTCTTTGTCATCGTTTTGTGTGTCTGAAGTAATTCTGTGTTTGCTTTGTGATCATTTTTGTCTCTTTGGCATCATTTTGTGGGTCTTTGT